ATCAAATATTTAGAAAAATTTCTGAGTAAAAATCATACAAGCCTAAGCTAAAACGGATGATGTTCACAAAATAAAGTCGATAAGGCTTCGCGATGGTCAGAAGATATAGCTGGTAATGTGGATGATCCCAATATGAGTAAGAATTATGAATGTGAAGTCCATAGGTTAAAAAAGAGCAAACCTAGACTGTTGTCACATGGTGGACTTAAATACAAATTTGCTGATGCAACAAATCATACACTCTAAGAAGCAGAAATCGCCTTATACAAGTTTTCAGTCAAAAAGGTTGCAAAAGATCTGAAAGCAAAGAATCCTGCTCATTGAAACAAAGAAAAGCTAAAATAAAATTTCAACCTTGAAAAATCTTCTCATACTGCCAGACTTTGCACGAAAGCTTTTCGATGGTGCTGTTGAACATCCGTTCTTGCTCCTCAGCCAAAGTAGAAAACGCTTCCAAGCGGTGACACTTTTCTTTCAAATACTCGTTCAGTTTCTGGATCGAGTCGACTTCTTTCTGAAATTTAGTTTTTTTCACTTCCTTCTTAGCATAAGAATCAATGGAATATCATTATTTTTAAATAACGAAGGGACCAATGGATTATTTTTGACTGATACACAAGTTATAATGATTTTCTTCAAGCTTCTCTTGGTAAAAATTAACCGGGTAACAATAACAAGTTATGGTAGGGTTGATACTTTCGCATTATGTCACAAAAAAATAATCGTGTAAATCAAGTCAAAGAAGTCTAACGCCGGGAAACCAAAAATAACTACAAAACTAAGAAAAAATAAAATCCTAGTCAAGAACACTTACCTGAGCCGCGTTTAGTTTTACCGATAAAACCTGCACATTCTGGGCGTCATCAACGGGTTGTTGAAACTGTTTTTTCTAAATAAAGCAAATGATTAGAAGTCGCTGCGACCGACACCACTGAGAACTATGACAGACACACTTTCCATGAAACATCAACAAATAGCTCATTAGTAACATTTTTCGCGGTAAGCTAGACCAAAACGGTATTGGAAACCGACAGTCAAGCCTAAACTGTACGGAGGAATAAGCCATCGATGTAATAAGCAGCACCTGACCTATGCCGCTTCAAACGAACTGTCGGTGTCCGGTATCAATCATAACCGTATCATCCGATAAATGTCATCATAGTCACTTCAGGCTAGTGATCACCATTTGTCATCGCATGTCAAGGATATGAGAAACGTTTTATAAAACATATGGAGATTAGGCCAAACAAAATGTTCTTAGATTTAGCCAGCTCGTTGAGCTTAATGTACTGTTAGTACTATATGTCAACAAACAGAGGTATATCCAATGGTGCTCGAAATGCCTCTGTTCCACAGAACAAACTTGTGCCGTTTGCAAGTGCAAAGAACCACGAAACCGTATCCTGCTTAAACAGTTCATTAGGCCATTAAAAGCAAGAGAAGGGTGCGACTACGCCTTGTAAATTCGGAGAAGCGCCAGGAGATTACTGTTGCCATTGATTGCAGCATAAAAAATTTTTATATTATATTCTTAGTTATGATAAAACCGCAGTTGGATGAGTCTTCGAAGAGAAAACACAACTAGATACTCTTTTGCAACTGGACACAAATGCCGCAAACGTATGATACAAATGACTGAACACAAACAAAAGACGGTAGTAGACTACATACACCATATACTCTGATTGTTACTTCTGAGGCTTCAACTTATCATTATCTACGTTAACCAATCTCACCATGTTTTGGAGAGCAGTTGCGAACTGATGTCGAATCGATGAAACGATTTGTTCCACAACAGTGTTAGGAACTTTCTCCTGGTAACTAGACACTTTCTCCTAGAAACATAAAAAACTGTTTTAGAAATAAACAAGCACTAAAATACATAACTTACAAAAAAATCATTTCATTAGTTGGGAAAATTAATGAAAGATTACGAACTAGCCTACTGGTTTTATACATGTTCACACGCATGTCGGTTGCGAATTTTTCTCGAGAGTGTTAGAGCTCAGTTTCAGAAGACTCCAACAAAACAAAAGTAGTCTGCAAAGAGCGAATTTTTCGTTTCGACATCTCCTACGCTGATACGCTCATCGCCCCGGCTGCGCGTGGCTATTCTGTCCATGAACAACACAAACAGGAGAGGAGACAGAACGCAGTCTTGACAGAGACCAGTGCGAACGCTGAGAGTCTTCGACTTAACGCCATTTACTCTGACGCAGCACTTGTCATCAACTTATAGAAACTGGATGACTTGTAACATCTGATCATCGATGCAATACGCCAGAAAGCACACCCAATGTTTGGCGAAGGTCCCCGTCTTAGGCTATTTCAACTTTCACAATGCAGGTGCAAACCGGATGAGCGAACTCGCACGATTTCTCAACAATCTAGTATACGGCGAAGATCCGGTCATAGGTGCTTCGCCCAGCCACACTGCGCACTTTTGATTTTTGAATCAGCAATTTTGCGCAACCTATTTTCAGCACCTTTGCTTCGGCCATTCAAGGCTAGGTGTAGCAAATCCCTAATGATTCGAACACTCCATGTGATCTTTTCTGAACAGGGACACTACCACCAAGTCCTCAGTCCACTAGCGTCTTCGTTCCAGTCGTTGCAGTTTGACAGACACGTGTGAGCCACAACATGCCTTGTTTGCCTAATTCCTTCAGTACCTCAAGGCGGATTTAATCTAATCCAGCAGTCTGGTAACTTTTCAACTTTTTTACAACTTTTGTGACTTCACCTACCGAAAAACTAATATCGGTTCCAAGCTATTCTTCTGGTGAGTCTTATTCCAACTACCCAGGGTAAAGGAGCTCCTAAAATATATTCACCATCGCCGAATTATATCTTTTTCCTTGGGAAGAAGGCGTCTGGACTTGTCCTTCAACTCTTAGAGTGTCTTTATTTCAATCTTGGGGAAGGTGCATGGTCTGCCACAATACCTTGTTTCCCGTCTGGAAATTCGATGCGAACGCATTACCGAAATTATCGGAGTAATCACCTTTCGCTTTCGCCTCTAGCTTTCCTGCGACCTCGCGTGCTTCTTCGTACTTCATTCAAGTTGAAGGCTCTTTGCTTCCAAGACACCTCTTGAATACATCTTTCTAATCACTGACAGCAAGTCGGTTTCAGACCCACAGGCGGCAGGCCAACCAGCTTTAAACCGCAGCAGCATTCTGCGGCAGCCCAGATTAAGCCGTTCTTAAAAAACTTTCACACCGTTTCCACGTCAACCGTCACCGCTGGGATCTGCTGGAACCGTTATGTGATGTTGCCTGCAACTTTAAGGAATCTTTAATCCGCAGAAGATAATACCTCTCATTTGATTCTCAGATTGCTTCTGCTGTCAGCTCTTCGCGTAGTCCTGCATCATTTACACTGGAGGGTGCCAGCAACAACGCGATAATCAAATAACAGCTTTGAGCCTCTCTTAATGCAGATGTCCACTACAGAACGTCATAAGGCAGAGGATAAATGATCAAATCGATCATTGACTTCTGTGTACAAGCTACCCTTGACCAAGTATGTTGAAGTACGCTTCGATGCTCGAAAAATATGTTCATAAGAGACAGTACGTTGAATATACAAAACCTCAACAACTGCATGCAGTTGTTGTTGCAATCGCCAGATCTGTTATTTTGAATCACAGCTTAACACTTCTTGGTGTTTGCTCTGACAGCGCACTGAATCAAAATGATGACTTCCGTAGTCAGGACTTCTGATTTCTCTAAACAGAATCAATAACTACACCCAGCCGGAATCTGAACTCTGCATTTTTAAACCAAAACTAAAAACTCGAAACCAAAACTACTAATCCACTTCCGGTCACGCCCCAAAAATCATACTAACCACATGCAAACCAGTCTACAAAACAGGACGGTAGAACGGAGTATCAACACAACAATTTAGCTCTTAAAACTGCAACACAAAATCTGTCAGTTGGTTAATTGGCGCCTCAGTGAAGCAATCGCCTTTCAGAATACAAAATACAAGTTTTAGCTTAGAAACAAGGCAACAGCTTACATCGAAAGCAGTAAAGTTTTCGTTCATTTTCTGCAGATCGGAGCTGAGCGTCTTTACCATGCTTTCTGTCTGTTGAACATAGGTTTCGATAGCCTTGATACAAGGGGTCGCTATCAACAATTTATCTAATGAAGTTTTCTCCTATGAAGATATTAATAAAGTGCAAAGTGTACGAAAGTATGAAATCAGCAAACAGTTACTTCAAATTCCGCGACTTTTTCCCTCAAATCCTGAACCCCTTCAACCACAGTATCAATCTTGCCTTCATATTGTTGCAGTGGCAAATGGGCTTTTTCCAGACAGTCATTCAAACATTTGTCCAAATTGCCATTGATCAGTTCCTAAAAAAGTAGTTGCGTTGGTAATACTCGTAATAAAATATTAATAGCCAGTAAATAATGACTACTATAAAGTAATAGCAATGATCTTTCATTAACTGAAAATCTTACGTGCAATACATTTGAACAACACTAATCAAAATGAAATTAGGTACGCTGGCGTTGCGTCTTACCAAAATCACCATCAAGGAGAGCACAAAGCCAGGTACATAAGACCTTGACTTTGAAGTTGCTTTTACTTGTAGAAATTAGTATCAAACACTTAGCAACACAAACCTATTACTCACGCGAGATGGAATCTTCGTCGGTACAGTTTTAGTTGAGCGGGCATTGCTATATAAATTTGCTGAAATCACCACCTTGAGCGGTATTTATCAGCAAAGCTTCCCTGGTTTATGATGTTTGCCATTATTTGACCAGCTTTTCAACATATTAGCTATAAGACGCTGATTACTGCATCACAGAAGGAAGTATTCCTCTCCGAAAGTAGATCCTTCTCTATCTTATTACTCCATGATTCATGCTCGCCTGCCACGTTTCGACTCCTGAATGATTAAATCCTGGGCTCAGGTAAATGGTTCGTGTTCAACCAGTTTGTCTAAGAGGGCCAACCTCATTTTTAATCTCAACATGTACTCAAATCACTTTTCCCCGAAAGAGAATAGTCACTGCTTAGTGGTTTTGTGATTTAGTCCTCGTCGTGCGTTGAAGTCGATGCTGCTGCACGCATCAGCTATCGTTCTTGCTACCTTCGCTAGAACAACTGTATCCATGTTATACAACAACAGTGACCTGACACAGGCAAGGCACTGGCTGATTTTTTGGAAAGAGATACTCTCTTTTTAGCCCAAATATCAGACAAGTTTAAAAAAAACCATTCGAGGAATTTAGCTCTGGCTGGATGATACCACTGATGGAGATGATGGTGCTCAAATTGAGTTGCAATGGTTCTCATGGAGTTAGGGAAAGCTTAAATCACAATCAAATCCCGCTGTCTACAGGAGTATTCTCAGGAGTTTATGTGAACTGCGAGTCGAGAAAACAGTATTATCATAAAATACTTTATAATTATGTGGGTTGAAGCAGCAAGACATACATGCAGGATAGTACCTTAATGCCACTGAAGCCAAAGAGACTAAACGTCAGAGTACAATAAAACATTTCTAAACTATTATGTTATCTCACCATAACTGAGTTTTTACAGCGTCGTTCAGTCTTTCATAAGGTCAGACTTTCAGGATACTCGGATGGCATCGATTCCAGTGAACGTAAGCAGATATAGTAAATTTCATCGTGATGTTCAACCACGTTCTAATTTACAGAGGTTACAAAGCAAAACATTTCGAATAATCAGTGTTTGTCTTCTGCAAGGATAACAGTGAAGCGCAAAGTCAATCACTGATAACGATGGATAAAATGAGTGCAAACATTATGTCGCAAAGAGCAAGATAGATAGCCAGGTTCATTTTTCTAAGTAAATAAATTTTTATATGAGTATATAATCTACTTTGTGGCTCTACGCATACTTTCGATATTTGCAAATTCTACTCAACACAAGACTAACAAAAATTATAAAACAAAATATACAGTAATGAACACCATAGTAAACTACAAATTAAAGTAAACTACATTTTAAAAAATCAAAATCTGGAGCCTTGAAAAGTTTCACTAAGTATCTGCGTCATTACACTTCACCAAGTCTTATGCAATGCTTACATGCTACCGACTCAAAGGAAATGAAACAAAATTCTTACGTTCATGTAAGAACCCGCA